GGAAGAAAGGGTACACACATATATTAATTGAATCAGAAAATTGTACCTATTAGAACATCAAGTATTTGTCTCTGAGGGAGCGATGAAATGAGATAAAATATTTTTATCTTTTCCCACTTCAACCCCCTTTTTAAAACTTTTATTTAGACTTCTGGTAATTAATATGACTCATTAATAGCATTGTTAAAAGTGATACAATGGTTTCCTAATCAACTATAGAACAATAAAGTCTTAGGAAAATCATATGACTTTTGAAATTATTTCCCTAGGGATTTAGGAAATAATAAGATTGAAAATCTTTCACCGCATGTATTTAAGGATCTGAAGGAGCTCTCAAAATTGTAAGACATATTAATTTTGTCACTTCATTTCTTTATTTTTAAATTTCTTTTATGTTTTAAATTCTGATAAAATATGTGCAACATAAAGTTTACCATTTTAACATATTAAGTGTGAAGTTCAGTAACATTAACTATATTTACATAATTCCACAAACCTTACCACCATCTCTCTGGAACTTTTTTATCTTTCCAAACTGAAACTCCATACCTGTTAAACAATAATTTCTCATCACCCCCCCACACACCAACATCCACTGCTCTACATTCTGTCTCTATAAATATGACTACCCTAGGTACCCCATATAGGTGGAGTCATACAATATCCGTCCTTTCGTGACTAGCTTATTTCACTTAGCGTAATGTCTTCAAGGTCTCTCCATGTTATAGCATGTGTCAGAATCTCTGAATATTATTTTCTAAATAATAACATTAATTCATTAATTATATTTATTTAAATTTATAATTAATGAATTAACATCATTGTTTACAATAATAATCCACTGTGTGTATGTACCACAATATGTTTATCCATTCATCCATTGATGGGCATTTGGGTTGTTTCCACCTTTTAGCTATTGTGAGTAATGCTGCTACAAGCACAGGTGTGCAAATGTAAATTCAAGACCTCGATTTCAATTTTTTTGTATGTAGACTCAAAAGTAGAGTTGTTGGATCATATGGTAGTTATATTTTTAATTTTTCAAGGAAATGCCATACTGTTTTCCATAGCAGCTACACCATTTTACTTTCTCACTAGCAGTGTACCATGGTTCCAGTTTCTCCATAACTTCAACAGCACTTTTTATTTACTATTTTGTTAGTAATAGCTATCCTAATGGGTATAAAATGGTATCTCATTGTGCATTTGATTTGCATTTCCATAATCATTAATGATGCGAGTATCTTTTAATTTGTTTATTCATTTGTATATCTTTTTTCGAGAGCACATATTCAAATCCTTTGCCCATTTTTAATTGTGTGTTTTGTTGTTCTTGAATTGTAGGAGTTCTTTATATATTTTAGATATTAAGTCCTTTTCAGATATAATTTGCAAATACTTTCTTCCATTCTGTAGGTTGCCTTTTCACTCTGTTGATAGTATCCTTTGATGCACAAAAGTTTTTAATTTAGATATAGTCCAATTTTCTCTTTTGTTGCCTGTGCTTTTGGTGTCATAAGCGAAAAATCATTGCTTAATCCAATGTCATGAATCTTTTGCCCTAGATTTTCTTCTAATAGTTTATATAGTTTTAGCTTTTATATTTAGGTCTTTGATCTGTTTTGAATTAATTTTGTAAATGGTATAAGCCAGTGATTTTCAACCTTCTTCATCTCATGGCACACATAAACTAAGAAAATTCTGAGGCACACCAAAAATATATTTTTTGTTAATCTTACCCCCCCCCCCAAAAAAAGAGGTGTAATTTTGGTTCATTCACACCAGACAGCTACTGTTATATTGGCGGTTGTCATTTTTTATTTGACAGTCTAAGGGAAAAGAAGTCAGTTTCCCTGCCTAAATAGTCAGGTATTGCATGTTTAAAAATTGTTGAAAATCGCTGGCATAACCTAAGGATCTATGTTCTTCTTTCTTTTCCTTTTTTTAAATTTTGCATGTGGATATCTATATAGTTTTCCCAGCATCATTTGTTGAAAAGACTTCCCTTTCCCTATTGAACAGTCTTGGTACCCTTGTTGAAAATAATTTGACCATATACATAAGAGTTTATTTCTAGGCGCTCTAGTCTATTCTATTGGTCTACACAGGGATGGGCAAAAGTAGGTTTATGGTTGTATGTGAAACACAGTTTATTCTTGTATTACTTATTAGTTATTGTATTATTTATTCATATTACAACTGTAAACCTTCCTTTGACCACCCCTGTATATCAGTCTTTATGCCAGTACCTCATGGTTTGATTACTGTACCTTTGTATTACGTTTTGAAATCAGCAAGTATAAGACCTCCAATTTTGTTCTTTTTCAACTTTATTTTAGCTACTCAAGCTCCCTTGATATTCCACATGAATTTTAGGATACATTTTTAAAAATTTTTGGAATATATATTGTGATTTCAATAGAAATTGCACTACATCTGTAGATTACTCTGGGTAGTAATGGCATCCTAACAATATTAAGTCTTCCCATTCTCAAGCACAGAATTTATTGATGTCCTCTTTAATTTCTTTCAGCAACATTTTGTTTTTAGAGTATAAGTCTTTCACCTATATTGAGTTTTTTTTCTAACTAGTTTATCCTTTTGGTGCTATTATAAATGGAATTGTTTTCTTAATTTCATTTTTGGGTTTTTCATCATTAGTGTATAGAAATGCACTTGATTTTTTGTGCATTGGGTTTGTATTTGGGAATTTTGCCGAATTTGTTTATTACTTATAACAGGTATTTTTTGTATGTGTGAAACCTTTAGGGATTACTACACATAAAATCATGTCATCTGTGAACAGAGATGATTTTACCTCTTCTTTTCTAATTTGGATGCCTTTTATTTCTTTTTATTGCCTAATTGCTCTGGCTAGGACTTCCAATACTATGATAAATAGAAGTGGTGAAAGGGGACATCCTTGTCTTGTTACTGACTTTAGAGAAAAAGCTTTCAGCCCTTCACCACTGAGTATGATGTTGGTTATGGACTTTCATATATGGCCTTCATTATGTTAAGATAGTTTCCTTCTATTCCTAAACATTGAGTCCACTTTTGTTTCTTTTATACAACTCATTTTTCATTGTCATTCTTCCTCTCTTTCCATATATTTACATATATGTATATATATATACATATTGTTATAAGTATTTTATCTCCATTAATTCATTTAAATGCTTAATGTACCCTATAAGGCATGTGCTATTACTGTACTCTTTTTGTTAATGTTTAAAAGTAACCCAGAGTCAACAGATACACTTGCTCTCTACTCAAGCAATTTCTAGAAATGACTTATTGCTGCCTTTTTTAAAAAACAGGAATCTTTCCTATAACCCAATCCAGAAAATTCAAGCAAACCAATTTGATTCTCTTGTCAAACTCAAGTCTCTGTAAGTATACACTTATGGGGATGTTTTATGATAAAATTGTTATTTGTATACTAATGGCTAATAAATTCTATGAAATAAGATTTATATTATAGAATCTTTTAAATCAGAAGCTCTAGTCCCAGGATATTAGTTCAGCTCCCCCCTCCCCCCCCAAAATACATGACTACTCATTGGACTATAAACAAATAACTATAAGTTTTATCTTATGTATTGGCAAACTAAAAATTAAATAATAATGAATCATTTTATATTTTTTTATAATCACCAGGAGCTTATATTAGATTGGTTGCTTCGCTCCTCTGAAGGCTCCTCTTTCTTCATTAGCACTGGATTTCTAGGAATTTTTATACTCATCTTTACCCCAAGATAGAATATTCTAGATTATATAAATCATTACTTACACCATAAAAAATATTCTGATAGGATCTAGAAGTTGCCTTAAAAGATAAGCTTCAGTTCATTTAATTTAAGTGTCCCCTCAGTAAAATGGCATTTTATTAGAAAAAAAATATTTAAAAATTACTGGAAAAGTTTCAAAAATGTAAAACTCCTCTGCTATTTTAATATTGTCTAAAAGATAATGCTTGTTCATTTATTCTGCAAATATTTATTGAGTAGTTACTATACATAAAGCATTGTGCCACGATCTATGAGCATTCAAAAAATTTGAGTAAGGGAGATACATATGGATATATGTGTATAACTAACTGAATTGAAAAGGATTTGGGGAAGTGCCTAGGGCAGGCTGAGTATGAATATTTGGTTCAGAGTATGTGTTAACTAACAACATTTTATTAAATTGTCCTTTGCAAAAACTCATTTTATTATACCCTGTATAATGTATGCTATTTTGATAATTAATTTGGTATTTTTAGCAGCCTAGAAGGAATTGAAATTTCAAATATCGAACAAAGGATGTTCAGGCCACTTATGAATCTCTCTCACATGTAAGCAGATGTTTTTCTTGTTCCTCGCCTTGATTTAATCTTTTCTGTTTCCACATATATTGTGCTGATACATCCATGGCCAATGTGTCCCATCAATTAACATTTTCTAGTGACTAATTTGCCTAAACAATAATTAACTCTTAACTATTCATATTGAACAGGGTGATACTGAGCTTCCCATGGTTTGGTAGAATCAAAGGAGATTTTTGAACGTCAGAGAACATGAGTAGGGAGGGAGCCCACTCAGTCTTTTACGTCCTCACTCTGGTACCATTCATAAATGTTGGTGTTTGCCCATTGAGCTAGTAATTTGTACACATGGTATAAGTGCTACCATATGAAGATGTAGGAATTTATATAGGCAACATAAAGTAATTATAAATAGATAATTGCTGTAAATGGAGGAAGCTAAAATTGCCCACAGAGTCAGGGCGTGACAGAAGCAAATGTGTACAAATAGAATGGCAAATGTTGAAAAACCTTTTATTCAAACTGTGTGTCTCATTGTACCATTGATTACGTGCTTTAGAAACATTTTATTTCATTGAATGCAATCTTATAACAGGTATTAATGATTTCCTTGTCAGGGTAATTAATTCTAAATAATTTAGAAAGTATCATTTCAACCACCGTCACTCTACAATCTTGCTTATATTTTAAACCTAACATAAGACAGTCTGCTTTTGTTTTCCATAATTCCTCAGAGATAACGCTTATAAAAGTTTCCTTGGATCTACACAACATAAAACACTTTGACTAAATTAAGCAAATCAGAGTTAATTGGAAGAAAATGGTGTAGCTCACAAAACCCAAGAAACGACACAAGGAATAAACTTGAATTGGGCAGAAACCATGTCAGATCTAGGGACGCAGGCAGCAAGAGTTAAACAAGACAACTTACTGTAATTGTCAAGCTTTTATCTTGTATTACTACTAACTCTTTACATTGTAAAGATCATTTATGTTTTTGCCAGAGTCATAGCTTTAGAAGCAAAAATATCTAATTTTATTCCAATTCCTACATTTACTTAAAAAAATGTCCTAGCAAATATTGTGCTTCAATTGTAGATTCATCTCCTGGTGATATTAATACCTACCTCATGGAGTTAATTTGAGAATTTGTTCCTGAAACCTAGAAGATGCTCGATAAATAGTGTTGGTATTGGTGGTAACACAATAATAATTTTTGATTATCCAGGTAATGTCTTTATCAACAAGGGAGGTCTATTTAGGAAAGAATTCACTCCACAAATATGTACCAAAATCGAGTGTGAGAGATAGGCATGCTAGCAAGTAGTTATAGAAAACACAACTTCTGTAACAGAAAAGCCATCGAAGCACAGAGAAGAGGGCACTTAACTCTCCCTCAGAGGGTCCACGAGCAATATCAGTTGCAGCAACAATAGGAGCTTTTACATATACCAAACACTAAAAACCCAATAAAACTTTCCTTGATGGATTCTCTTGATCACATGCTACCAGTTTCTTTATAGTCTAAGACATGTCTAACACTTGGATATTCATTATGCCTATTTGCTGCTGTTCTCTTACAATAAAATCAAGTTAATGAGAATTAAACAGGTTTAAAGCTTCAGTATTGCTAAAGTTTTGCATTCCTCTGAGTCTCATATTAAGACATTTTCCTTCTCCTGAGAAAATGTAGAAAATAAGTATTAATGGATAGTGAGATGGGATTATATTTAAAATCTTATTTTACCTTCTCTTTGCACATCAGCTATTTTAAGAAATTCCAGTACTGTGGATATGCACCACATGTTCGCAGCTGTAAACCAAACACCGATGGAATCTCATCTCTGGAGAACCTCTTGGCAAGCATCATTCAGAGGGTGTTCGTCTGGGTTGTGTCCGCAGTTACATGCTTGGGAAACATCTTTGTCATTTGTATGCGACCCTATATCAGGTCTGAGAACAAGCTGCATGGCATGTCAATCATATCTCTCTGCTGTGAGTATTTCCTGACTGAAGAGGAATTATAGTTTCAAAATAAAGAAAAACATTGCTATTCAAAAATAAGTAAACAAGGGCAGAATTATGAGATTTTAAAATGTTCTCCTTTTTGCCTATCTATTATTTTCACACTCACTACAATGAAAATAAAATTACTTTAGTGATGAGAAAGAAAATAAATTTTTTTTCCAGTGCCCCAGCCCCCTCCCCTCTGACAACTGTCTGTCTGTTCCATGTATCCAAGCCTCTGGTTCTGTTTTGTTTGTCAGTTTGTTTTGTTCATTACATTCCACATACAAGTGAGATCATATGCTATTCATCTTTCTCTGACAGGCTTATTTCACTTAGTGTAATAATCTCCAGGTCCGTCCATGCTGTTGCAAAAGGGAAGGTTTCTTGCTTTTTTATGGCCAAATAGTATTTTATTGTGTAAATGTCCCACAGCTTTTTTATCCACTCATCTGTTTCCAGATCTTAGCTATTACAAATAACACTGCTGTGAACATAGGGGAGCATATATTCTTTCAAATTGGTGTTTTGGGATTCTTAGGATATATTCCCAGAAATGGGGTCACTGGGTCAAAAGGCAGCTCCATTTTTAATTTTTTGAGGAAACTCCCTATTGTTTTCCACAGTGGCTGCACCAGTCTGATTCCCACCAACAGTGCAAGAAGGTTCACTTTTCTCCAAATCCTCCAGCACTTGTTATTGATTGATTTATTCATGGCAGCCATTCTGACAGGTGTGAGGTGATATCTCACTGTGGTTTTGTGTATCTCTGATGATTAGTGACCTTAGGCATTTTTTCATATGTCCTCTTTGGTGAAGTGTCTATTTAGGACCTTTGCCCATTTTTAAATTGTGTTGTTTGTCTTCCTGGTGTTGAGTTGTATGAGTTCTTTATATATTCGATGTGCCATTGGTATATATGGAAATAAGTTTTAAAACAAGAAAACTCAATCACGTTACACAGATTAATGAAGCTCTCGTTCATTATCTTTGTCTCATAAACAAGCTCTCACTCATTAGTTTTCTTCTCTGGAAGCATAATACATTATTAAAGGCTATAAAATCTTTTACTATAAATAAAACCTTTTATGGTCACATTTTCATATCCAGAGCTGTATTTACATTTTTGTTTGGACGTCCAGTTCATAAATATTGTCTTAACAGATAGTTGTTTTTCTTGTCTCTGAGCTCCTAGAGTCTTTTGCAGTCATAATTTGAAATATCTAAAGAAAATATTTTTAATTAATATGATTTTTTTTTAATTCTGGAAATGTGATTGCAAGGTATTAAGTTAAATGAGGGCTACAAAGAAAAATAAGCAAAAACTAGTTGTCAGGTATTTATAGTATAAGTAAAGTGACCTATAATTTATCTGTATTCCCTCAACAGGCACCAATCTACATGATATTGTACTTTTTTATGTGTGCTGTCCCGTGTTTTAACCCTACCCTTAAAGTCTAATGTCTAACTGTGTGTGTGTGTGTGTTTTCATTGCAAGCTATCTAAGAAATAGACTCAGAAATTACTTACTACTTTGTATTATTAGTATTGTTAGTTACAAAATTTTGAGGACTCTCAATTTCCCTGGTGAATGCTAGAATGTAACTTCAGTATTTAAGGATCGGGGTCAGCCTTATGATTTATACAGTGATGTGATTTTAGGAACTTTGTGTAGACTGCTTTCAAAAAAAATCTCATCTACTTTCAGATATGTAATGTTTGCTTAAAAAGCAAATACACCAAGTAGGGCATCGCATTGACAGCTGATTTGGGGAATGGGAGAACCTAAAATGAGACAGAGAAAGATGTAAAAATGGGAACTGAGAATCAGGGAGAACAGGTTTGCTTAGGCCAGTTCTGGGTAAGTAATTTAAGCCCCCTAAAATTGTACTCACTGCAAAGCATGTCATAATTATTAGTCTTCTAAATTATGGACCTCAAAATCCAGAGTCATTGCTCTATCACAGCAACTTCTAAATCATTCTCCCTGAGATTTTGGATGATGTCTTTAGCTTGTTAAGCTGAGAGAATTTCAGTAGAAGAGGTCAACCAAATAAGATCCCCATCTTTGTCCCTAATCTGATGCTCAGTGTAATTGCATTTTATTCAACACTTCTAGGTGAGAGACTAGACTGAAAAACAAAACAGACAAGATCCCTGCTCTCACAGACTGGCATGTTGGAGAACAGAGAAATGCTTACTTTTTAGCTGTAAAGGGCACTATAAGTGTGGTTATCAAAGAGAGTTGATGAAGAGGTTCTTACCCATAAATGCACTCTTAGAATAAAAATTAGCTCCCCCCTCAAGACAGAAGAAACTTGTCTACTTTTGCTAAAATATTAGATATATTATATATAAATATTACAAATACTGAAATATTAATGTTTATTCATAATTCCATTATACCTATGTATTTCTCTAAATTTTTGAAATTTATTGATCCCTGTAGGTGCTGACTGCCTAATGGGAATATATTTATTTGTGATTGGAGCCTTTGACCTAAAGTTTCGTGGAGAATACAATAAGCATGCACAGCTGTGGATAGAAAGTTTTCATTGTCAGCTTGTGGGATCTTTGGCCATTCTCTCTACAGAAGTATCAGTATTACTTTTAACATTTCTGACATTGGAAAAATATATCTGCATCGTGTATCCTTTTAGATTTTTAAGACCTAGAAAATGCAGAACAATTACAGTGCTGATTCTCATTTGGATTATTGGGGTTATAGTGGCTTTCATTCCATTGATCAATAAGGAATTTTTCAAAAATTACTATGGAAGCAATGGAGTATGTTTCCCTCTTCATTCAGAAGATACAGGAAGTACTGGAGCCCAGATTTATTCAGTGACAATCTTTCTTGGTAAGAAATTCTGTATTATGAGTCCTTTGATGCGAGTGTTATAATAGATCACAACATGAACCTCATTATACCTTCTAATGTTTAAAAATTTTTTATTTGAGGTCTTCTAACCAGTTTTTCTCATTGACATTGAGGATGGATTCTCTCAGAATCCCCTAAAGGGATTTTTTTTTTTAAATTTCCTTTTATCATATAAATTCCAACATGATGCACCTTAATTAAAGACACTAAACACTTGTATTTCATGCATTCATCCTAACAATACTAAGCAAAGTATACTTTAACTCCGCCTTTATAATATAAACAAATTCAAAGTAGCCAGACAAATCTTTGGCTTGAGTAGACATACAAGTGTTTTCGCTTGTAATATTTTTTCAAAATAAACAGTATAATTGAGTTATTTTTAAAAATACTAGAAAGATTAATTTAATAGGCCCAAGATATTCATTGGATCACTGTAATCTCATTTTAATATACCATTTCAAAATTAAACACTTCATCATTCTTCATTGAACTATTCTTCAATAATACTTCAAATTTTCAAAAATTCATGATTTCTGTGTACCAGAGCAAATCGAATATCTTGGTCTTTGTATCTTCTCCTTAATAACAACAGCTAAGGATACGTTTTGTTTGTTTGTGTGTTTGTTTGTTTGTTTGTTTTGAAAGCATGTTTATATACATTAATAATAATCTTTGTGTTCTAAATAGGTATTAACTTGGTGGCATTTATCATCATAGTTTTTTCCTATGGAAGCATGTTTTACAGCATTCATCAAAGTGCCATAACAGCAACTGAATTACGGAATCAAGTTAAAAAAGAGATGATCCTTGCCAAACGGTTTTTCTTTATTGTATTTACTGATGCATTATGCTGGATACCCATTTTTGTACTGAAATTTCTTTCATTGCTTCAGGTAGAAATACCAGGTACTACTATTTTCTTCTTTCTGTAAAAAATAATAATAATAATAATGTATCCATTTCTTCAGTGTTCCTCTAAGAAAGAAAATTAAGATCCTTAACACTAACTCAGATTTTCTTCATCAATATAATGTTTACTGAGAGGAAGCTGTTCAGTTCTTTACATAAATGCCTAAAACTACAATTACTATTGGGACAAAGGAACAATTTCTCAAATAAGTTATACACAATGTGCAGAAATTCTGGTAACCCCATGCTTTTACGATCACCAGAAAGGAACATAGGTCAAAACGATTATGAAATAATTATTTATTTCAGAAGATAAGAAATTTCTTCCCGGAATACATAGCAATTCAAAGAACATTACCCCAGAGTATGAGAGGTGATAGAAGAAAACACTCTTGATATTTAAAAATAATGTGCATCACACTCAGTAAGATGGCTGTTATCAAAAACAGAAACTAAGTATTGGTGAGGATGTGCAGAAGGGCACCCTTGCACACAGCTGGTAGGAATGTAAAATGGCACAGCTGCTCCAGAAAACAGAATGGTAGTTTCTCAAAAAAATCAAACATAAAATTACCACATTACCCAGCAATTCCACTAATGGGCATATACCCAAAAAAGTTGAAAGCAGTAACTCAGACACTCATATACCCATGTTCATAGCAGCAGCATCCCCAAGAGCCAAAAGGTGGAAACAACCCAGGGTCCATCAGTGGATGAACAAAATGTGTTACATACACAAAATGTAATATTATTCACTTAGAAAGGGAGGGAGTTCTGACACACGCTACAACATGGATGGACCTTGAAAACATTATGCTAATTGAAATAAGCCAGTCACAAAAGGACAAATATTGATTCCACATCAAGGAGGTAACTAGAGGAGGCAAATTCCTAGAGACAGAAAGGTTGTAAATGGTGGCGTTAGGGTTGGGAGAAAGGGATGCGGAGGTGTGAATAGGTACAGAGTTTCATTTCGGCAGGATGAAAAAGTTTTGGAGATGCATGATAGTGATAGTTGTACAATTATGTGAAATGTACTTACACTTAAAAACGATTAAAATGGTAAAGTTTATATTATGTGTGTTTTACCACATTTTTAGAAATGTGCAAAATCCTCTTAACTGTATATATAGTGCACTATGTATTCCAATTTTTAAAAATTTATAAAAATACATTTTTAATTTTGTCTTATCCCACGGTTTGTGGTGATAGTATCTTACATTTTATAAGCAATGAAGAAGAAACATAGCATTAATTAAATTTCAATAAAAATCTGAGTATTTGGTGGTTGCATACATACTATAGTGATTTTCTAAGATAAGGTTAGTCAAAGATGTTTTTATTAAAATAGCTAGTGAAAAGTCTAAAAATGCATACCTATTTTTGAAAACCAAATAAATAGTTGAAAAGAAATTTATTAAAGATAAGTTTATACTCTGAGCAATACTACACATACTATCTAATAATTAAAATATTTCAAAAGGTATGATTTAATACTAAACAATCATTTTTCCTAAAATGGAACATATTATAATAATATATAATCACTCAATGGAAAATACTTCTGCCTTATAGAATACTTTTCTGATGTATTCGAGAAAAGCTATTTAGCAGCGAACCCTGGTTTTTTGCAGCACCAGTCCCCCCTCAAACACTAGCACCCTGGAAAGATATCCTGGAAACACATATAGACTTGGCATTTAATTATGTAACATCAAATGGAAAAAATAAAGACTTGAAAGGGGGCCAGGGTAGAAACAAGGAAAAGGGGTTTCTATAACTTGCAAACATCCATAAATACTAAAACTATTTCATTTTTCTCACCCAGGTACCATAACCTCTTGGGTAGTGATTTTTATTCTGCCAATCAACAGTGCTTTGAACCCAATTCTCTATACTCTGACTACAAGACCATTCAAAGAAATGATCCATCAGTTTTGGAATAACTACAGACAAAGAAGATCTATCGGCAGCAAAAGAAGTCAGAAGACGTATGCTCCATCATTCATCTGGGTAGAAATGTGGCCGCTGCAAGAGATGCCACCTACGTTAATGAAGCCAGCTCTTTTCACAGACTCCTATGAATTATCACTAATTTCTCAATCAACTAGACTCAATTCCTATTCATAACTGATTCTGAACCCCACTGGGGTGCTTGAAAGTAGATTTATTAGTATAAAGCAAATACCACAAAATTAATAATTTATATTAATGGCTAAAATAAATTAGGGAAATAAATTATATTGGTAATATATATATACTAGCAAAAATTTTGCATAGGAAATTTAAATCTACTTCAGAAAGATTCATTCTGTTTGCATTTCTTGAGTACCCACTGTGTGCACAGCAAGTAAATTTCTGGAAGTATACAGTATAGAACCTTTTCAATGTTTAATGTTAAATTATGTTTACAACAGAATATACAAAGTGCATCTGCAGCTCCTGCATTAAGTTGAGCTTTGTCTGTCATGCATATCGGCAAACATAAGAATAATGGACACTTTCAAACGGGTTTAAGGTTTCGTAACACTCACTATAATAGCGTCAGAGAAAATGATTGTTTGCAAAATACAGATATTCTGTTTTAAGAATTCATCTTCTCTTCAAATCTTCATTTACTTGAGAGCCAATATAATGTATTTATTACTATGGAAAAAATGTTCTGATATCAAAACAGCAACTCTCTGTCACTAACTGCTATCTTTTTGCTTTGAGAACCATCATACGGGATTGGAAAAGGAGAGTGAAAGTATTGCTAAAGAGTGAATCAGAAAGGACAGATATTTAGATCAATGGTTTGAAAGACTAGAAATAAAACCTTCACATTTACAGTCAGTTGATTTTCAACAAAAATGCCAAGACAATCAAATGAAGAAAAAAGTCTTTTCAACACATGATGCTGGTACAAATCACATGCAAAAGAATGAAGTTGGACCCCTTCCTTACACTACATACAAAAATTAACTCAACATGAATAAAAATCTAAATATTACATAAAACTCAGAAGAAAACATATGGCTAAACCTTCAAAAACTTTGACTTGGCAACTGATTTTTAGATACAACAAAAGCATAAGCATCAAAAGGAAAAAATAAATTTGATTTCATCTAAATTAAAAATGTGTATCAAACGACATTATCAAAAAAGTGAAAAGACAACCTACAGAATGAAAGACAATATCTAGAAATAATATATCTGAGGAGTTAATATCTAAAATATTTAAAGAACTCCTACAACACAACAAAAAAGACAAGCAGCCCAATTAAAAAATGGGCAAAAGACTTGGACATTTCTCCAAAGAAGATAATACTAATGGCTAATAATCACATGAAAAGATGCTCAACATCACTAATCATTAGTGGTTCCTCAAAAGCTTGTCATACAGTTACCATATGATCCAGCAATTTCAGTCCTGGGTATGAACCCAAGAGTTGAAAACATGACTCAAACAGATATGCATGCAAATGCTCCTTGCAGAATCATTCACAGTAGTCAAAAAATGGAAGCAACCCAAGTGCCTATCAACTGATAAACAGATAAACAAAATTATTATATACATGCGATGGAATATTATTCAGCCATAAAAAGTTCTGACACATGCTACATGATGAATGTGAAATAAGCCAGACAAAAAGGGACAAATACTATATGATTCCACTTGCATGAAATATCTAGAATAAGCAAATTCAGGGAGACAGAAAGATTAGTTTACTGAGGGTGGCAGGTTTGGGAGGGTGATACCTAAGAAGTAGAGAATATCTTTTTGGGCAAAAGAAAAAGTTCTAAAATTGATTATGTTGATGGATAAACAACTCTGTGATTATACTAAAAGCCACTGAATTATACACTTTAGATTGGTGAATTTTATAGTACCTGAATTATATCTCCATAAAGCAGTTAAAAGGAAAAAGAAAGAAGAGCTAGAATGTACATATTCAGGAACTTAACTTCAGGAAGGAAAAGTCTGTACGTTCATGTTTTGTTTTGCTCTAAAGACAAAGTAGTTGTCATCAAGAGATGGATTTACCTTCTGTTTACACAGCCCATCAGATCATAAGATACTGCTTTTTTGCTAGTTAATTCTTCTGGTCTCTGAGCTATAGGAATTTTGTTTTCAGAATTTGAAACCTTTAAAAAGGAATAAAGTGTTTTCAAGTAGTTTTAAATACAACAAAAATGTTTGAAACATGAAAATACTGGAATTAAAAGCATATTTATTGAGCATATAATTGTATAGATTTCTTTTGAAAATAAATTACCTAAAAATTAATTATATTAAAACATATGGATTGCTTTGAGTCCTTTCTGCTCTTACTTGGAATGCTTCCAGTAAGTTTTCTACATGAGGAATGCAGTATACTTTCAATAAAAATCAGAATAGAAAGCTAGAATTCTGCTTATAATATTCAGTTCTCTAACTACTTAGATTATAATTTTTAAGAAGTTTACAAAAGTAAAAGTACATTTAAATTATTTTACATTGTTAGATTATTTATTGAAGTATTTTACTATTTTTTAAAATTTTCTTAACCCTTCTTGATAATTTTATTTTATTCATTTTTTTCACGGTTACACATTTTGAATTTTTTTATTATTGTTCAAAGTATTACAGATGTCCCCTTTTTTCCCCTTTGATCCCTTCCACCCCACACCCACTCCACTCCCCAGGCCTTCACCACACTATTGTCTCTGTCCATGGGTTATGCATTTATGCATATAAATTCATATATATAGAGAGTGGAAGAGAGGGAGAAACATCAAATTTGTTGTCCCACTTATTTACGCATTCATTGGTTGATTCTTGTATGTGCCCTGACTGGGGATCAAACCCACAACCTTAGCATATCAGGGCGACACTCTAACCAACTGAGCTATTCAGCCAGGGCTAAAGTATTATTACTATTATTAAATAATGGAATGGGAAATTATTTTTCTTAAAGAGAGTATCTAGAAAAGAATAAAAAGCAGTAATCATGAAGAGAGAATAGATAAAATGTATTCCTACAAAAATTATGATTGTGGTCTATGTTAAGGGTCTTAGAAATGCTGGGAGTTTACAAAATATACATATGAAACTACCTTTTAACATCTAAAATATTTTCAAATGCTTTTCTGGAAGCCATTTGGTTTCCTGTCTATTTAATTCACTCACTCTTCCATCTTTCTACCTCTCCAAATAAAGTAACTTCTATACATACATAGATCTGAAGAAAATACAGTCAAATGCTAACATTTATTAAATGTATATGGTGGAAATGCATTGGTGCCCATTAAATCATTTAATTTTCCTGCTGTGTTTGAAATATTTCAATATAACATTTTAGAGTAATGAACCCAAAGAAATGGAAATAAAATCTGCTTTTAACAAGTTTATTTTTGTACATTTTAAAATTTCAGTTTTCATGGTACATAAGAAAAATGTTTTCTAATATCAAAAAGCTGCATGTATGTGGTACAGGTACATACCATATTTGTTACCTTTAATTTTAAAAAATTAATCAAGAACTATGAACTAATATGCTAAACAAAACTATTATTTGCCCATCCATTTGTCCCCTTTCATAGCCCCATTGTGGAGCTTTAGAACAGTTTTGTACACATCTCCATAACAACAAAGAATAAGATGCTGTATCAAAGATGTTATATAGTAGAGAATTAGTTGGCTTAATCACTGACACATGACACAAACCACCAAGGAGAAAGAGAAAAAGCAACATAAGATACAGGGCAAGTAAAATAGAACACTGTCAATAAAGTCAAATAATATGAAAATAATCATTTAAATTTGATACATTGAAAACAAAGTAACTTCTTTAAAATTATTATATTTAGAATTTAGAATTATTTCTTACAAAGCTCCAAAAGTAATAATACAGAGCCATAATTGTGATAAGGCACTTTAAAGAGAACAATCAAAGACTAACAGCATGGAATGTGAGAAATATTATCTGTAGAAGCAGTTAACCTTAGAAATAAATAGGGGGAAAAATGTTTGGTTTTTTACAATGAATGTATATATCTGAGCTATCTCTTCCACATTCAAAATATAGAACATTTACATAAACCCAGAAAATTTTCTTGTACCCCTTTGCTTTCCATCAGAATAGATAAGTTTTATCTGTTCAAGAATTCATAAAAATAAAATCATACAGTGTGCATCCTTTTGTGTTGGCTCTTTCCCTCAATATAATGTTTTTGAGATTTGTGGGTTTGGAGGTTTGTTTTTTTAAATTTATCTGTATTGTTAAAAGTATTACAGATGTCCCCTTTCTTCCTCCTATTGATCCCCTCCACCAGGCATCCTATCCACCCCCAGGCCTTCCCCACACTATTTTGTGTCCTTGGTTATGCATTTATGCATATAAATTCTTGGAAAATGTGCATTCTTTCTATACAAGCTTCCATTTTCTGAAGTAAAAGCCTCTTTAAAAAGCATCATAGAAGGGCAATCATATATTTTTAAATGCTGTAATCAGTTCAAGTTCAAATCTCCATAAAAAAAAAGAGAACATTTTCCTTCAAGTCCACAAGGTTGACTTTTATGTGACACTGTTCTAGGTGGTAGGGATATGGAAGTAAGATACAGTGATTGATCTAGAAAACTTAGCCTAATGGAGCTGGATCTAAAATTAACCTTAAAGTTACCTTCCTTGGTCCATAAAATGAAGCTCAACTTCAAACTCTGCCATTCTTAGCATCTTCTTGCAAATCAAATAGTGTTCTACCTAATTTGCTCCTGGTAACACTGTGGTATTATTGTCTACTGATGAAATTAACTTTCATAAAAAATTCTATGAAAGTTTAGACAGAAAGTATTTAAGGTAAACAAATACTAGCCAGCATCAAAAATAACATCAGTATTCTTTCACAAAAGTGAAGAAAACCAAGAAAAATTTCATTTTGAGTATACAGAACTACTGGAGATTATCCTAAGTATATGGTACATATGAAAATATCATAAATGAGAAGGTGTGCATTATTCTGCAGCCAAATCAGTTGTCAGGCTTCAAAGAATCATAGCCTTCTTTCAAGAGGTCCCGCCATGTTTTAAGGAAACGTGCATTTTCTGAACATTTCAAGGCAAGCTCTTCCACTTGAGCTGATACTGCAGATGTGGCTTCAAGGAGTTTGGTTAATGAAAATGCTGCCTGAAATTAAAAAAAAAAAAAAGTCAAACAATAGAAGTTTATTCTTTAAATTCTCATCTCATAAAGAGTCTAAAAAGTAGCTTAAAACCTTAAATCCAATGCCTAAATTATTTTCTTTAAAAGTAAAAAATCTGCAAACTAAAACAGTTCTTTCAGGAAACCTAAAAAATTCTTTAATATGAAGTAAGCTTTGAGGAAATATGCCGCTAGAAAGATACCCATTATGTATGAGACATGACAAGCCCCTAGTCTCTTCGAGCTCAACAAGATGACTTGGACCTCTTGACGCTAAGTACCAGAAGCATCTGAAGGGCTCCATCATAAACAACTCTTACTGATATTTGGGTAACAAGGGCACTGTTCACCCTTTGTACCTGTGAACACTCTAGACCATGAAAACATAGATATCAAAGAACACAAATTCTGAGCTGGCAAAATCAACGTAATCAAAATACTTGCAGAAAATATCCAAGTCTTGGTGGATATTTCTTCACTTACGATGTAAAGTAACAGTTTCTAGATAGCACATCTGCACTCCATTGTACATACTCACTTGAAACCAGTCTTGCTCAGCAAAAATAGAAGCTGTGTTCACTTTGTTCATTTTGCGGGGGGAAAAAATACTTGAGCCATGATATAATCGAGTTCATTCCCCAGTTTCCAATCTGCACAGGCAGGTCTGTTCCACAAAGTTCTCCCAGGAAGAATACACCCTAAATACCTCATTCACTTGACCCACTTAGAAGTCCTTAAATACTGAAACTGTGACCCGCCCTCCGACGGTGTCTCTGTGTCGGGGTTGCA